TCTTCTAATTAAATCAGCTAAGATAACTCTGTTTGCAAGGATCATTCTAAAATTAATTCCCAAATCAAGAGTCTAACAAGCGGTACTCCTAATAGTCCAGATTTTAGATTGCTTTGATACCTGGAATTAATGTGAATCTTTTAGTAATCTAGTGACTTGACAAATCATAAAAAAAAATTTGAAGTTCCGCTAACTCATTTCTACCTCACAGTGTTCTTCGAAAGGATTTTAAAGACATCGTCTAACTAAACAGAGGGCAAAGAAATCAGAACTCTGTGAAGCAGGCAGCTAAATGGAAATTAAATTATTTATCCCAAACTAGGAGATTTAATATGTCTCCAAAAGAGTAAGACTTACCAAACTCTGTTTTTTCATTTATGTTAATGTGATATCTACATGTAAAATTGAAAAAAGAGTTGGGTTAACAGCAAACGTATCAAATAAGTTGGTTTGCTGGGGAGCAGTGGGAGGGAGGGCTTTTCCCCGGGAAGCCCACCAAAAAAAGGAAAGGATTGCTGGACGAAGGCCAGACAAAATGAAGCATTACATATTTTGAAATTTGAAAACAATAAAGACTAAAAATGTCACTAGTATATCAGTGGAATATAAGAGAATGTTTTTTTTAATTTTAGACTTTGAGACAGATTTTTAGATTTTTGAGATAAATTGATATTAAAGAGATGGGAGAGGGCTTCCCTGGTGGCGCAGTGGTTGAGAGCCCGCCTGCCGATGCAGGGGACACGTGTTCGTGCCCCGGTCCGGGAAGATCCCACATGCCGCGGAGCGGCTAGGCCCGTGAGCAATGGCCGCTGAGCCTGCGCGTCCGGAGCCTGTGATCCGCAACGGGAGAGGCCGCAACAGCGAGAGGCCCGCGTGCCGCAAAAAAAAAAAAAAAAAGTGATGGGAGAGAATTTACTGCTTTCTTAATATGCAGCTATAGCCCAACTCTCAAAATACCTGAGATAGGAAAAAGGTGGCAAAGTAAATTATTGAGAACAGAGTTAGTTATGTTTTTCCTAATCTGTGGGGATAAACTTCCCTCCTCCCTCTACCCCCATGATAATTTCCTGGAGTAAGTTTTTTTGGACTAACCCAATATTCAGAAAGTAGGCCCAGTATATTGAAAAAAACCGACACATGTTTTTACTTTCTATCTTTCATATAACCAGATCTATACAATGATCGGGAAAATGCACGAGTACACAATTTAGTGGTGGTAGCGTAGCCAATTCCAGAGAACATAAAATCTAAATTCAAAGTGATTTTGAAAAATTGTAGATGTTGCAAGTAAATAGAAAAATACTCAGCTTGAACTGTGAGTGAATGCATGTGGTGATTGATAATACCAGGCTATAGATGTATTAGATAAGGAAAGAATTGATTTTACATGCATTCATTCGACAAATACAGAATGGCAGTGGGCAAGGTGAAGTGGATGGACTCCAGTGCCTGGGGTCAGAGTGCCTGCGTTTGAATTCTAGCCTCATCACTTGCTACCTGAGTCATCCTTGGGCAAGTTAATTATCTGTCTCTGTGTTGCTCGGTCTTTTCATCTTTAAAATGGGGATAATGATAGCATCTAAGTTATTAGAAAAAGTCAGTAAGGCAATGTTTAATGTTTTTAAAGTAAGTAATGTTTTTCAGATAGGTGCCGGGCACATAGTGATTTCTATATAAGAGATTGTTAAGTAAAGTTGCAGTAGATAAATGAAAAACATTAACCTGTAAGCCAATAAATTACCACTAGTAAGCAACACGTGCATATTATAATTAATGACTCCAAGAAGGCTCAAAGCATAAAATAGAGGCACCGTAAGCATAAAACAACATTCCCTGAATTGCCCAGACTTTTAAGCAGATGCTCTTTTCAGTTGTGAGTTACTTTAGAAGTTTAGCACCATCAGGATGAGTTGGATTGGAAAATGAGATAATATTTCTGATGCTGGAAGAAAAACTGATATGTTTCACACTGACCTTTGATCAGAGTAACAGTCCTAACAAAGAACTTGATGCTACATGGCTCAATATCTTCCCAGAAGATAGAACACGAGAAAATAAGCAAGCACACTTTGAAGGCTTTTGGCTAGATATCTGCAAACATTTTGATACCACAAAAATTACTAAGTATTAGAATGGATTGCTGAGAGGGGCTCAAAAGTCTATTCCTTTGGAGGTCTTTGAAACAAGGACAGATAGTCTATCTGATCTGCCTGGGATGGTTTAAAATCAGGGCTGAGGGAAGATTAATGGTACAAGCTGCCCCCTGAAGGCCTCCTCTTTCCCAAGCACTCTCTGAGAGTCGAACTTTATATTACCCATCACAGTCCCTCATCTGTTGAGTTTGAAGAACTCCCTTTTATCCTAGAATGGAAAAGGGCACACTATTTCACAACTGTGAGTTCTGAGTAAAACTTTAATAATGTCATGATGAAACATAATTCCTTATTACTTCTCAGTTATTTTACCAGGCAAGCTACCTGTAAATATCTTTCAACTAGAAACAGCTCTCAAGAACCTGAAATCTGAACAGCAGTTCCTTTAAATTCATGTTCCCTGGCAGACTAACAGCACATGCCGTTTCTCAAGCAAACCAGTAAAAGTCCAAACAAGGCAAAGGATGGAAAGTAGTTGAAGGGAAGGATAACCACGATATACTAGATAATTAAAAGTAAATGGTATCAGGAACGAGGGAAGAGAGGAAGAGTGTGTTCATTTAATAACAGGACACCTAAGCGATCATTCCAACAGCAATAGGTAGCACTGAGTAAAGTTCACCTTGAAAAAATCTTGGTCCTTAATATAGTTATCTTTCAATTCATTTCTTTTCCTATCAGATGTGCCTCTGACCCCCCAGTGACCTATAGCTTGAGTATTTCCACTGGCACAAAGGACAGGAGGGTTTAGGCAAACTCAACAGTGCCCTTAGTCCTAGAAAGTGATTTTAACAAAAGTGCACACATTTTAGAAATTCATAGCTGATTAGCAAGCACTGTAATTGTCAAGGGGTGGAGAAAAAAGGGGAAAAAAGCCCTCTGTAGTTAAAACTCTACTGAAGGATTTATCTCAACCACTGGCAATGTTTCAGGAAAGTCAGTGGGGCCTACAGAAATCATACACACGGAAAACCTTCCCTCTGATATGAAGGAGATTTGCCTCTGGTAAGGATGAACTGTAGTCTGCTGAAAGTCCCATTATCCACTAAAGAATACTGAAGCAATTTAAAAATACTTAACTCTTTTCTTCTTTGAGATATCTTATCTGAAATCATGTTGGGAAATATGTGTGTTTAAAAGACAGTTTGAAAAAGCCCAGATGAGAGGAGAAAAAGTTCCTACAAGAAGTGATCCATACTCTAAACCTTTAAAAAGTTGAATTCCCTGAGATTGGGGGGGGAGGGGAAAAGCAAAGCTGATCCTTATCAATTAATTAAAAAGAATGAAATAACAGTAGACAGAGGGGAAGGAGAGTTAAGAAACTTAAGGAGCTGTGGGGGCAGTCGCTCTCTATTCACTGATTAACAAATTAAGGAGCTCTGGAAAAGGGAGAAGTGACAGGGAGAGAAAAGTGGTCTTATAATTCACCACAGGTTCCGCCTCCGACTCACCAGAGGCTGCCTATGTCTGGCTCAGAATTAAAAAAAGGCTCCCTGTATATAATGCTCCGCGCTGTTAGCGTGGTGTGTAAGCTTTTTTTTTCACTGCCTGTATTTCTAGAAATGTGCTCATTCCGGTGTGAGTAAAAAAACCCACTTGTAGAGTTTGTGGATCAACCGCAATAAAACAACAATCCCACTACGTATCGAAACCGTGATGTTTTAAGATCTCTGCAAAAATGCTTTCCCTCCAGCGACCAGTTCTTTGGCAAAACGCAGAGAGGCTGGTGGAAATCCAGCGTTTTGACTCGACCCTCCGAGGACCCTGAGGACTCCAGCTGCCGGGTCTGAGCAGCCCGCGCCCCCGGAGCATCTCCTGGCCTCTCTCGCAGCCACAGGATTACCTCTCCCCAACACATTTCATTCACCGAGCCCCCGACAAGCTCGGGCTCGGTTGGAGCTAAGAGCCGGAAAACACGCACCCAGGCTGCCGCGCAAGTTGTCGGAGGGGCTCTCGGTGGAGGAATGCTGGTGGCCGGGCTCGCGGGGGACGCGGGGTCCCGGGAGCCCGGGACGAATCCACCAGCGAGCCACCCGCTTAAGTTGACTCGGCTTCCCAGAACGGGCGGCCGAGGCCGCGCTCAGGACGGGGCGCGGCGCCGGCTGGCCGGGGTGTCCCCGAACCGCGAGTGACCAACCGCAATCGGGGAAGCACTGAGGAACCGTAACGGGAAAGCCCGCCCCAAATCTCAAACGGGCAGCCCACGAACTCCCCAGACCAGCCTGGAACCGCCGACGTCGGAGGCCGAGTCCCCCGGTGGGGTTCCCCACACACACACACAAGCCTCTCCCGCCCGCGGCCCGGGCGCCGGGCGCTCTGCCTCCCCGAAGGTCAGGAGAGGGGACCGAGGGGCGAAGGGAGCCCTCCGCGTCTCTCCACCGCCCCCGCTGGCGCGAGGGCGGGAGCGGAGAAGGCGCCACTCAGACTGTGGCGCTGGGCAAACTGCGGCCGCAGTTCTTCAAGTTTGCCTGAGCGAGCGGCGCGGGGTGGGCGCCCCGCTCGGCGATCTGCCCTCGCGCCGCGGCCGCCCCGGAGGGTGCCGGGCTCCCCGGCCCGCGCGGCCGGGGCCAACGACGAAGGGGGCGCGAGAGCGCGGGAGGGAGGGAGTGAAGGAGGGCGCTCCCGCGTGTGCACACAATGAGGCAGCTGAGACGCACACCTCCCCCGCGGGCGAAGCCGCGGGAGCATCCGCCGCCCCGCACAGAAGCTCGGCGGCCGGGAGAGCCCCGACAGAAAAGTGAACACCAACAACTCAGCAACAGGGGGAAGGCGGAGGGCTTCCGGAGGCGCGGGGGACGTGCGGCCGCCGAGGGCTGCAGCCGGCCCGGGCCGCGCGCCCGCGCTTACCTGCGATCTCCTGGTAGGGGATGTCCGCCAGGCTGAATCCCTTGGCACCGTACGCCTGGCGGACCTCGCCGCAGCTCCGAGCCTTCACATCCGCGCCGGCCGGGAGGGACAGCAGCAGCCCGGAGAGGGGAAGAATCACAGCCCCGATCCAAGAAGGCATGGTGCAACATGCAAATCCAGCTCGGTGAACCCCGGGACCCGTGCGCTCTTCACCTTGCCCCTCAAGCCGAAAGCCCGCCAGAGCCGGCGGCGCGCTGCTCGCCGCTGCCCAGCGTCACCCCCTTCCGCCAGCCGAGGGGACGAGCAGCGCAGCCCTCTGGACTATGCTCAGCAAACTTTTATATGCCTGATGGAGGATGGCAAGCCAACCAGGGCTGGCTGGGAAAGCACCCGCCTTGATCCTCTGGCCCCCCAGACCGAAAACGGTGCAATAAAAACGAGAAAGAGGAGGAAAAGAAATGTTTAGAAAACCACCATGGGGGTTGAGAGCTGCGATCCGAGTTCCGAGCCGCAGAATTATCTAGCGCGCGGCGAGCTCGGCTCGCGGGAGTGTGCGGCGAAGGTGGGGACGCGCGCCGGCTCTCCCGGGAGGGAGATGGACAGGCGACCGCGGGGGTGTGCGCGCGCGAGTGTGTGTCGGTGTGAGCGCTGGGTTCTTGGGGCTGCGTGTGCGTGGAGGTATGTGTTGGGGATATACGGGGTCTAGGGGAAACCTCAGCTTCACACAGGCTGAGGGAGCCTGTGAGAGTCCTCCTGAAATAGGAAGAGAGAAATCCTGGAGACCGACACTGGAGGCAAGAGGGAAGGAAAAAGGAGGGGCGGGAGAGAAACGTGCTACACATTGCACAGCCGAAATTCAGAGGCAGAGTCGAAGGCAAAACCTGGACTGGATTTCTTTCTACTCCGTAGAAGAAGGGAGGGGGGGGGAAGGGAAAGGTTCCTATTTTCTCATTCCCTGAACATCCTTCATGCTGATCCGAAATGCTACCTTTAAATGCCATAACAAAGTCATCTAGACACAAAAAGCATTTTGCAGTCATTAACTTACGTTAGTAAACTATATTTTTGTGGACATAAAGGACAACACAATTCCAATTGTTGCTCTAAATATGAGAAACAATTCACGACCTACTGAAACCCCAAGGCAATGTAGAAATGAACAATTATAGGGGAAACGCAAATAGCAGGGCACAGTCACTACTCTAATTGCTGGTCTCATTTCTCTTTGACTCTGTTTTTATTTTGTAAAGGCAGTTCAGGCGCACATTAGAGACCAGTAGTTTTTCTTATTTTCAGATTTTGGGTTCTGGACTCAAAAATGTCCCCCTTTTAAACTTCAAATATTACATACTCTTGGATCCAAAATCATGATCTTAGGTGTCTAGTGTGTGGAGGAACAGGAAAGCTAAGGAGAAGAAGCAGAACAAAGAAACTGAGAAAATGAGAGCAGGGGTCTTTGGGGTACATGAAGGAAGATATTGGGGAGGGAAGTGAGGTCTTCCTTCCCTCTCTTCAAATACTCACATACTAGGCTTACTGTTTTCTTCCAAGTTAACAGAACTCTCAAGTGGAGAATCAACTCACTTATTTCTTCCTGTCTTATACTCAAGTTCTGTGAAATGGGATAAATATGAAAATTCTTATCAATCTTCTTATGTTAATGAACTCTGCTAGGCAGAAGTATGTGTTGAAACCCAAAGCTCATGCAACTACTGGGGTAGTTAAATCCAAGACCAAAAAAATAAATTAATAAATAAATGAATGTTTAAAAGGTGATGCTTACTTGTGTGGCTCTATGTATTTAGGTCAGCACATTATTCAGAAATAACTATTGGGTAATGTCCAGCTTTTTGGAGCTTACCTATAAAGCTATGTTTTTCAGATGACAGCTATTAATGACCAGAATGACTCATGAAATTTGTCGCTCTGTTTGTTATCACCATCACAGTCGTAATCATCTTCATCATCATTACAACACATTAGGTACCTCTCCTTCCTCTCTTTAATTAATTCCTTCTCTTTTACTCCACCAAAAAGACTCCTGAGTTTAAAATCCAACCTGATTGAAACTAAGGAAATGCTTAAAAATGAGGTTCTCTTATTTACAATTTGATTTTTTCTTCTTGAAAACGCCATAGCTAAATATATCTTTCTGAAAACAACACTCACATTTTTTCTCAAAATTTTAGCACAATGTTTGCCTTCGTGATATTGTACTAACTGGCAGAACTTAAGCAACTGCACTTACCTCCCTCAAAGTCTGAACTCAAGATGAGAACAAAATATACACTAGTGTCTTTGTGGACAAAGGACAAGTTGGTTAGGATTAGGAATTGCTATAGCCAAGTCATTATGTCTATGATATTTGACATGACCTTCAACCTTCTGTTTCTGTCAGAGCCAGGTGGTGGGCATTTCACACTCCAAAGGAAGGGGGTAAATACACATAATTTATCCTCTCATCTCGCACTGGGACTCATTGTAATTTATCCTTACTCTAGCAGTATATAGCAATACAATAGAAAGGACACTTGAAGTGGAGGAAGAATAGGTAAAAACATAGTATATACGTTTTAAATTATTTGAAAATCAATCATGAAGTATTTAATGAGCATTCAATGCAACTGTACAACACTAGGTTATTGTACGTAGCTCCTACACTTGTACCAAGGCTAGTATGGAAAAAATTATAACTTAATCAGACGTAGATTAGTTTAATCCCATCAGGAGGGTGAAACAATTTAAGGTAAGTTTGTATTCCAATCAGACCAAAGAATTAAGTAACTTGCTTTACTGGTGCTCTCAAACCCTGTGTAGTCCACTCACTGAGTAGTGAAGTAGTGTAAGAAATAAAGTCAAACTTTCCAGCTAAGGGCAACAGCAAGAGCCTAGATGAGGTATTGGAATGAGACTTGAAGGTCATGGACGTTTATTGAAGAGGCCTGACTAGAAAGATGAGAACTCATATTAAGGAGAAGTTGGTGTTTGATTTAGATAGGAAAAAGAAGGTTAGCTGAGGTACTTGAACCCTGGCAGTAATGTTTATATTGTACGTAACAGGGGAAAAAGTTAGAACATGAAGAACATCAAACCAAAGGAAGCAAGCACAGAGAAGCCAGAGAAAGGTAAGTAGAAGAAACACATAGAACTCTGCCGCAATGGTCAAGATTTCAGGTGACTGAGACCAGAATAGGAAGATAGTAAATGGAAAAACGGTGAAGATAAATTTTTCAGAAAGGATTAGGATGATTTGGTCCTTGGTTCAATACACACAAAAACTTATTAAAAAGTTATTTTAAAATTGTTAGTCTGTATACAGTGGAATATTACTCAGCCATAAAAAGAAACGAAATTGAGTTATTTGCAGTGAGGTGGATGGACCTAGAGACTGTCATACAGAGTGAAGTAAGTCAGAAAAAGAAAAACAAATACCATATGCTAACATATATATGGAATCTTAAAAAAAAAAAAAAGTGCTTTTGAAGTACCTAGGGGCAGGACAGGAAAAAAGACACAGATGTAGAGAATGGACCTGAGGACACGGGGAGGGGGAAACGTAAGCTGGGATGAAATGAGAGAGTGGCATGGACATATATACACTACCAAATGTAAAACAGATAGCAGCTGCCTAGCACAGCGAGATCAGCTCGGTGCTTTGTGACCACCTAGAGAGTTGGGATAGGGAGGGTGGGAGGGAGATGCAAGAGGGAGGGGGATATGGGGATATGTGTATATGTATAGCTGATTCACTTTGTTATAAAGCAGAAACTAACCACTGTAAAGCAATTATACTCCAATAAAGATGTTAAAAAAAATTTTTTTTAAGTTGTAAGTCTCGTTGGGAAAATATGGTATATCTTCTATGACATAAGACTCCTGTTTATACAGCACTTTCACATCCCAGCTGTTTTTACACAACTCCTTCTGGGCATAAGATGAATGGAGCCTAGGAGACTTTAAGATATGGAGAGAAAAAGACTGGTCTAAAGGAGCCGCCATAGCTGATAGGTAAGCAGAGCTGCCCCTGTCAGTTGCCCACTCCATGACCATCGGCTCTTCCTTCTTGCCTGACTGTGTACGGAGCATTGTGCCAGCACGAAGGGGTGGATCACAATTGGTCGAGGCAAGTCAGGGCAATTTCTTTCCCTTTTCCATTATAGTGTAGGGGTGGGCGTAACACCCATTTTTGGCCAATGAGATATAAGGAAAAGATTTCTGAGAAAAACATTTTTCCTAATTAAAGGCAAGAATAGGAGCAGAAAGGTCTTTGGCCTTTGCCTCCTGTCTTCTTAGAGCTAGTTGGCCATCTTGTGAGTAGGAGAAAAGACATTGCCAAGAGACAGAATGATGGAACAGAGGATGGAAAGAGCCTAGATCCTTGATTCCTGTTTGAGTCACAAAATCAGCCCTGGGACCGCCAACCTCTTAACTTCTTGTTAAATAATTCATAAATATCCTGTAGTTTATGCCACTGTCATTTGGTTACTCTGCTCTTTACAAATGAAAGCAAAATTAATGTATATAGCAACCTAAAGGAAGAACAAAGGAAGTGAAGGCAACAGACAGGGGTTAGTTGCAAATATAAGAAGCAAACAAAAATGAGGTACCATCATGGAATCCAAGTTAGAAGATTTTCAAACATGAAGCAAATCCCAGAGGATGTCAAAGCCAAGGAAGATGGAGAAAATGGTCCTTGGATGATGATAAAGAGGCTTACTGGAGACTGCAACAGAAACATTTTAGTAAAGTAATGGGGTAGATGCCATACCACATGGAATTGTATATGAAGTAGGTGGAGAGAATACTGAAACATCATGTATAACTGATTACCACCATGTGGCAACTCTACGTGAAAGTGGGAAGGGGTAGCCAGGGAGTGCTTTCCCAGGGAAGCTCCTAAGGCTACAGGCAAGAATAGGAGACTAGACATAGAAAGAGATTGAAATTCAATATATTATTTGGTAGGTTGATTTTAAATATTCCTCTTTCTTATCTGCATTCTATAAGCTTTGTACAGTAAATGTGAGTTCTTTTTATGATGAGAAAGATATTGTTTTACAATGAACATGTCACGCTTTTAACAAATGCAGATGATTATAATATTTGTGCCATGTTTTACAAAGTAAAGGTGTCTTACCATTATCTCATATATGTAAAACAAATGGGCGTATATACTTCTCACAAAAAGATAACAACTTTGTGGTATGAAATTTTTGTTGTTGATAATTTTTTTTAAAAGCCATGAATCAGAAAAGAAAAAAAGAAGGCAATTACACGTTACTATTCTTTCGCTCAGTTATACCAATTCATGAATGCGAAGTTGGATGAATTTTAAGTTTTTTTTTCTTTTCTTTGTGTGTTTAGATCAAGTAGGACAAATATGTTCAAATGAAATCTTATGAAAACAAGAGAATGGACTTCAAGTGTCTATTACACATCTCAGCTTGGCACAAATCAAAATCGCTTATTTAACCTGCCTCTTGAAAAACAAGGGCCTGTAATGAAAAAGCCATCAGAAATTTAACAACAGTAGCTTTTCCAGGTGCCTGGATCACGGGAAGGTTGCTGAGTTACAGAGAAAGAAAGGTAAACTTGGGTAAATAATGACCAGAAGTGGTAAAAATAATTTTTCATTTTTCTTATCAAGTTTTATACCAAACCAAATCCTAATAGTCCATTTAGCACTTATCGAGCCTTAAGAATTTACCTAGTACTAATATAAACCCATTAAAATTACACCTTTAGGGCAGCTGAGAACCAGCTGGGTTGCTAAAGATCT